TAGAATGGTGACTGATGGCTTTGATAGAACGGCCATAGTGACGTTAGGGTTAGAATGTGTTTACGGTGAAACGGATCATTTGGCTTCCTTTTGAATCGTAATTCCGATCCTTGTAAGCATACTCTCGATCTGTTTTACAATAAATATAAAATCCCATCTCATCTTCTGATAAAGGTGGGCTTCATCTTGTACCCACATTTACCTGCATTGCCAGAAAAAAAGAACAATTTCCTATAAACATCATACTACAAAAATAATGTATAAATATGCTTTGACCATTTTTTCGCAGCTTGCTTGTATTTCCAGAAAGACCTGGGCGAACCCACTTTCTTTTAAGTCGTTTGCCATGGTGACCATGATAAATTTCCGATTCGGTCCATGAGCTTGGTACATTCTTACAATCCACAACAACTACGACAGAGGCTTCCTGGGGAGTTGCTTTAATGTCGGTCTTTGAAAATACTACCAAGTTGCGAAAAAGAGGTCAAACCACCTTTATATAGCGGAAAAAGACTTTGAGCATACAGTGAAGTGAATCAAATGACGGTTTTAATAGAGGCGATGTATTTGTGCTAACATGACGACGCAACGAAAATGTACTAATATGAAGAGAAGTTGACCTGCGAATAATGAATTGCCAGCCTGGACGTCGAATTAAAATGAAAGGATAGCAGACTAAGGTGAATTCATATTAATGTTTTGGAGTAGCCAAAATAAGCGCGTATAGAAACGTAGAAAATGCCAAATAGATCTTCAGGCTGATAATGGACATGCGGCAGAACAGGGAGAAAATGGAAAGTAGTCTAGGCGACCGGAGCACCTATCAAATTCACCCGATTTCGTATAAAATGATGAAGGACTGGTAGAAGAATTTTCCCACAATGACATGAGTAGAGCTGACGTTTCCATTCAATTTCACACAGCCTTGCTTTCCCATCGGTCTTATCAACACCCTCAGCGGGAGTCGAACTGGGAAAGTGCAGAATGGGAGCTTGACACGTTGACCACTCGGCCACATTGCCACGAGTGCCCTTGGTTCACAGGGCAAATGTGAATTTCAAGCAAGGCCAGGCCTTTTGTCATATCATATTCTTTGGTGGAAAGGATTCAACAATGAGGATCAACGGGACACTGAAGAATGTGCTAAAGGAAATGTATACTAATGGGAAATGGACAGATGGATAATGAAATCTTTAATCAAAACTGACGCAAGACGACCGACAGTCTACGGACCACTGGAGATATACCAAAAAGGAAATCCGTCCGTTAACAGTCAACAACAAGCAAGGAGCAACACACAAACTAGCAAATTCATTTGCTCTCGAATATCGTTGAGAATTCATATGCATTTTCTAAAACGGGGACGGAAATGTTGGTAGGTTTTAACGCAATATCCGTGTACACAAACATATCAGGACCTGCTGGAGATCTTGGAACGAGAGGAGGATATTCTGGAAGCAGAAAGGACACGATTGATCAACCTGACAGTAAGTACCACATATTTTACATTCAACGACAATATATATGAGCAAAT